TCCCTCATTCCCTAACAAGTAAGTTCATCACCACTAGCAGTAGCCACTGGCCACTGTGACAACCCCGCTTTGATGAATCACCTGTAGCGTTGCGAAGCAGTCCCTGTGGCTATGTCTTTTTGAATTGGACCTGCCTGCAAGAAAATAGCAATGTTGATAAGTAATCTTTTCAAAATGATCACAAACATTGAGAAGCTGGGTTTTCCTGGGGTTTTCCCATGCTTTTCCCCCAATGGTTTCCCCCTAACTCAATCTCAATCAGAGAAAGCCGTATTTCTTTGTACATGCTCAGGGGACCATTGTGCCCGATGGACCCTCTGGCGACCCAACATGGCACCTTGGATGCCTGGATTTCTCAAGATGGGTTGACAGTGAGCTGTTAAAACCTCGGTGTTTTATGTTGTAGCACTGTAGCACTTGAAGGTTCTGCAAACACAGAGGTCTCTGTGCTTTTTCAAAATACTTAGACTCTAAGTATCGTATGCAGAATGGGCAGGCATTCCGTTTGAAGTTCTTTGAAGTCTGCTTTCTCCATTACTTGTGATCTGACCGCCGAAGGAACTTCTCATACAAGGGGTCATGAGACTCAAACCGGCATCGAGTGAATCTAATGCCAATGAGTGAACGGATCTGAAGATGACCCTAGCTATTGGGGTTTCTGGGGTGACATGTTTTTCATCTAATCATCTAATCCTCCCCACAAGATCTTGAGATGTCTTGCGCCACTTCCCGGCTAATCATCACTAAGCCATCACTATCCCCTATCAAGAAATAGCCACTCATAGGGACTAAATATCCGATATTACTCGTATCACATATTCATACAATATTGTCATCATGACATCGCCATTTTCAGACACATCCAGACTGGCACATCTTAGGTTCCCTTCTGCTGGAAGTAATGGGGCAAGTGAGGAGGAAAGCGGAGCTGAAAACACCTTGATTTTGCGAACGAAATGGTGGAGCGAGCTGGCTAGACTAACCCACCCACCTGGAACCCCCAGTCCAGAAATGGCCATGGTGGTTTACCCTTTGCACAGTTTCAACCATTTGTGATGTAGGGTTTCCAAGCCCTATCATTGGGAAACAAACATATTCTTTTCTGTTTTGGGTTTCCAGACAGAGGTAAAGATGAGAAATATCATCAAAGGAGCTTAGCTAGAAAACTTCCAAGATACGTTCGATGGTCATGGTTAGCATCCACACCATCATGTCAACCACATCATCATGTCAACCACCCATCATCAAGTAGCTGGGAAGCGTAACAGTTCGGAAGCGTGTGATTTCACGGGTGAAAACACTCTTGGGCGCGAAACCCTGTATTTTTTGGTGTTGTGGCTTCGGTCTGTGTTTCTGCGGATCCGCGCGTTGATCTGGGAAAGTTGTCGGCCAAAAATCGCCGATTCATTGATTCATTGGTTCAATGATTTATTGATTCATCGATTCATTGTTTCATTGTGTAATTGATTCGTTGGTTCGTTGATTCAATGAGTCACTGGTTCATTGATTCGTTGGTTCGTTGGTTCATGAATTCATGGACTCATGGCTTCATTGATTCCTTGATTGGTTGATTTACTGATTCTTTGGTTCATTGATTGATTGATTGATTGATTCATCGTCTTCATCGGTTCACTGATTCATCGATTCATTGGCTCATGAACTCATCGGTTCATTGGCATTTGTTCATTGATTCATTCAAGCAGTTGTGCATGGATGCTTTCATGGCATTTCATTGGCATCTCAACGACTATTTACTATTTGCTCATTTGTTGATGGACCTCACAACTTCAACACTTCGTTGCTTCTGCATGTCAAAAGCTTTCCTATAGGCCATCTTCTTCCTATAGTGGTTTTATTTTTTCGAAACTTCCGCCCTGGCGCGGGCCGGGTCCTACCTGGTAAAATATCAGATGCAGATCGTCAGGATACTCCATACCACCCACCAACATGTTACGATTTCGATCTATAACCAACGGAAGTTTTAGTTTGACAACTTCCGAGTTACGGACGAATGTCCAGGGGCTGTTTTGTCATCATGTTAATGTCTCATCATGTCAACCAGCCATCATCAAGGAGTTGGGATAAGAGTGACAGCTCGGGAACACGCGAACTCACGGGTGAAAACCCTACCGGGCGCGTTCGGGTAAAGTGGCTTCCATGGTCGCCAAAGTAGGATAAAGTAGGGTCGCTGTTTCGGGTTGTGGGCGTCGATCTGGGAAAGTTGTCGACAAAAAGCGACGCGTCGCAGGACTGTAGCGAGAGCTCGATTTCCTTCAAAATGTTAAAAAAAACTGAGGGGCTCGGAGCACTTTTGGAAGATGAGGTCGGCAAAACGTACACAGGACTGTAGCGAGAGCTCAATTGCCACTTTACAATGTTTAAAACTGACGGGCGTAGGGCACTTTTGGAAGATGAGGTCGGCAAAATGTGTACTGGACTGTGGCAAGCGGAGCAGTTTTGGAAGATGAGGTCGGCAAAATGCGCACGAGACTGTAGCGAGAGCTCGGTTTCACATAAAAATCGCAAGAAACTGAGGGGATCGGAGCACTTTTGGAAGATGAAGTTGGCTCAATGTCTTCATTCAATGATTCGTTGGTTGCAGCTTTCATTGATTCAATGGTTGGTTTCTTTATTGGTGCATTGACCCACTGAATCGTTGAACTGTTGATTCATTGATTCGCTGATTCATTGATTCCTAGATTCCTAGATTCATTGATTTATTGACTCAGTCGTTGCATCATTGATTCATTGATTCCTTGATTCAGTGATGCATTGATTCATTGATTCAGCGGTTCATTGGTTCACAGGTTGCTTGATTCATTGAGTCGCGGCTTTGTTGCTTCATTGTTTCATTGCCTCACTGGTTCATTGGTTCATCAAGTCACTGGTTCATTGATTCTCTCATGTCGTTTCATTGGCATCTCATCAACCATTTGCTGATTGGTTGATGCACCTCACAACTTCAACACTTTATTGTTTCTGCATCGCAGAAACTTTCCTATAGGCAATTTAATTCCTATAATCATGTCCTATTTTCGAAACTTCCGCCCCGGCGCGGGCCGGGCGCTACCTGGTAATATATGGGCGCAGGCGTTCTGAAATCTTGGATAGACCCCCAATTTGTAGCATTCGGAACATGGTGACTAGCTCAATCAGCTAGTGGATTTAGGGGTACCCCATTGTCAGACAAATGCAGGTATCAAGCGTCGATCTTTGGCAGATTCTGGAATCATGCTTTCAGAGGTGAACAACTTGTGTTTGCTTAAATGTGTGGTGGCCTTTCTATGAAGAATTCGCTTAGCCTGCCAGTTCTAATGTTGCTAACATCTCGCAGAATTCCACAGTCGACAAAATTGTTTGTGAACATATCAACACCAACATAGAAATCCAAGAGCCTGTGCTGGTATTTGAGTGATTGCCCACCAACTTGGTTCAACAGTAGGTTGGGAACTACCTTTGCATATTTTTTGATTTTGATGAAGTACTTGTTCATTTGTAAAAAAAACATTTTCACTTCACTGAGAGGAGGAAGAGGCCTTCAAATTCGAGAAACTCAGCATCTACAAGTATCTCACAGAGCGGGGACGCCAGAAACTTCGTGGTCCACTGCCAGTCCACTGGCAGTGCCGCAACTAGATTCAACTTGATCGGTTAGGTACTTGTTTTTTGGGGGAATCCACCCTTCCACTTCATCCACTTCATCCACTTCATCCACTCCACTCCATTCCATTCCATTCCCATTCACATTCCATTCCCTTTCCATTCCATTCCCATTCCCAGTCCCAGTCCCATTCCCATTCCATTCCATTCCCATGTCCAGGTCCATGTCCATTTCCATTTCCAATTTCATTCCATTATTCCATTCCTTCACCAAAAACTTTGCTATTCTCCGTTGCAATAGCAATAGGATGGAGGTACGCCCCATTTGCAGTCTCCGCACCAAGATATTGCAAGGGATGGAACCACCAAATCCTAAGGTGGGAATCTGTGAAGAAGCGCGAGGAGCACATGGAAGTGGTATTTCAGTGAGTGATCTACAAATCTCGAGGCTGTTTGTGACAGAATCCAAGAAGTAGCAAAACTCCTGGCTATCCGCTTGAAGGTGGTTCAGGCTGAGATGAATCGAGCGGACAAGATGTGATTTTAGGTTGAGTTCCATTTAGTGACAGGAATGACTTGCTGCTTTCGGTTCGTTGACGTCACTGGTTCCGTGTTCAGCTGGTGACACCCCTCCACAATCCTCATGTCCACTGTGGCTTGCCGTCGACCAACATCGATATGACACTCCAATGACGATTTGCTCAGTGTTCACGTTTTAAAACAGGTTTCCAAGTCTGTGAGATGTTCATTTTTTAGTGATCAGAGTGTTCAAAGATCCCTTGGCAAAAACTTTGATCACAGCCATCGCCGCCACCGGCACCAGCACACCAGCGCACCAGCGCACCAGCGCATCAGCGCACCAACGCACCAGAACCAGAACCAGAACCAGAACCAGAACCATCATCATCATCATCATCATCATCATCATCATCATCATCATCATCATCATCATCATCATCATCATCATCATCATCATCATTCATCATCATCCATCATCATCATCATCATCATCATCATCATCATCATCATCCATCATCATCATCATCATCATCATCATCATCATCACCATCATCATCATCATCACCATCATCATCATCATCCTCCATCATCATCATCATCCTCCATCATCATCATCATCATCACCACCATCATCATCATCACATCATCATCATCATCATCATCATCATACATCATCATCATCATCATCATCATCATCATCATCATCATCATCATCATCATCATCATCATCATCATCATCATCATCATCATCATCATCATCATCATCACATCATCATCATCATCATCATCATCATCATCATCATCATCATCATCATCATCATCATCATCATCATCATACATCATCATCATCATCATCATCATCATCATCATCGACAGGGCCCATGGACACCCTGAAACATTTGATCTCAACTCGGCTCGTGTTTGACGAATGCATGCAGGATTCAGAAGTCCTCGATGCGGAGGAATCTTTTGCCATCCGCTCCTATGTTGAGGCCCAGACTTGAGGATCCTTAGGATCTACAAATCCGCGGGATGCGGAAGTGACAACATCCCATGCTTTCACATCCAGATTTGGATTTAGATTTTATAGGTATTTCATGGCATGTAAAGGTTGCACATGGTCACTCAGACCGTTCCCAAGGACCTTAGGGTCTGGGAGGACCGTTTCAATTCGAGTATCTACAATTTTTCTTCTTCAGTCTTGTTGGTAACTGAAATTTTTTGGGGCGAGGGAACTCTATAGACCTTGAACTCTGATGAGGGAAAGGCATAAAAAGGGCCCTGTCCATCCTCTGACGCCTAGACTCAACCACCACCCCTACGATATCTGGATACGGTTGCATGATGTTGCATGATATTGCATACAAATGCACCTGTATAACATTGTCTAGATAGCTATATCTATGCAGCAAATCAATCCATTGATCCAGGGTCACATCCGACGAGAGAAGCGCCTCACAAAGTACAACATCATGAAGGCGGTTTACCTGATGGTGAGCCTGGACAAATCCAATGGGAGTTGATATATTTTGAGATAGGCAAGGCCTTGTAAATGATGAGGGTTCATGACCAATTTCACGTTTTTTTTTGATTTGTTGTTGTGATCTCTTGCGAGGGACGAACACCGAGCACCGCACTGGACAGGTAGCACCATACAAGGGGTACCTCCTGCCCAAGGTGTTTCGCTGGGTGGATTGGCTCTCTAGTAGTGGTACGATGTGTTACGTGTAATTGCAGTACCATACCTATCAGGCATGTAGCTTGAAGAACCAACATTGCCGTCCACTGCGATTCTTGATCTGATGGGCAAGTTAATCGTTTGTCAGAAGATGTAAACTCCACGCTGGCCCCGAAGAAGGCTCCAAGTAAAAAAGGTTAAAAGACTGCACCAGTTGACAAACAACCGCATTTATTTTTGTTATTATTTTTTCGCGGCAGGTTTCTGTTTTTTTTTTGGGTTCCTGGTTCTATGCTTTCCTGTTTCTCTGATTTTCTGCTTTTCTGCTTCTCTGCTTTTCTGCTTCTCTGCTTACATTGCTTCTCTGCTTTTCCTGCTTCTCTGCTTACATTGCTTCTCTGCTTTTCTGCTTTTCTGCTTTTTGTTTTCCCTGCTTCTTTGCTTTTCCTGCTTCTTTGCTTTTCTGCTTCTCTGCTTTCCCTGCTTCTCTGCTTTTGCACTTCTGTGCCTTTCTACTTCTACTATTCTACTTTTTCTTTTCTTCAGTCATGTGTTTTTGTTGCTCTACTTCCTGCTCCTTTGCTTCTTTGCTTCCTGTCTTTACTGTCTCTTTGTTTTTCATTTTCTTTTGCTTTATTCTGTTCTGTTTGTATCCTAAATGAAACCCTAGAGAGACCTAGGTGAAACCCAAAGAAACCCTAAAGAAATCCTGATAAGAAACCCTACGTGAAACCCCAAATGAACCCTAAAGAAACCATAAATGAACCCTAAAGAAACCATAAATTGTTCCTAAAGAAACCATAAATGAAATAATGAAACCCTGCAGAAACTTTAAATGACACCCTAAATGACACCCCAAAGAAACCCGAAACAACACTCTGAAAAAAAATACTGTAAATGAAACCTTAACTGACACCTTAGCTGAAACCCTAAATTGACACCCTAAACAAACCCTAAATTGAAACCCTAATTGAAACCCTAAAGAGACCCTAAATGAAACCCTAAAGAAACCCTAAATGACACCCTAAATGAAACCCTGAGGAGCCCGAAAGGAACCCACTTGAACGTTTAGAAATCGTGAAAAGAAATCCTAATAAGAAACCCTGGAATGAAACCCTAAAGAAAACTTAAATGAACTCCTGAATGAAACCTTGAATTGAAACCCTAAATTGAAACCCTAAAGAAAGCTTAAATGAAACCCTAAAGAAACCCTAAATGAAACCCTAAACGAAACCCTAAATGAAACCCTAGAGAAACCCTAAAGAAACTCTAAATGAAACCCTAAAGAAACCTTAAATGAGACCCTAAATGAAACCCAAACTGAAACCCTAAAGAAGAAACCCTAAATGAAACCCTAAATGAATTCCTAAATGAAACCCTAAACAAAACCCTAAAGAAACCCTAAATGAAACCCTAAATGAAACCGTAAAGAAGCCCTAAATGAAATCCTAAATGAAACCCTAAATAAAACCCCAAATGAAGCTAAATAAAACCCCAAATGAACGCCTAAATAAAACCCTAAATGAAACTCTAAATGAAACCTTAAATGACACCCTAAATGAAAGCCTAAAGAACCCTCAAGAGACCCACATGAACGTCTGAAGTACCAAAATGTAGCAAATACCATGCAAATGCGAGGTTGAACTGCCAAAATGTGACAAATACCATGCAAAATGGAAAGCGAACATGGCCAAATGTAGCAAATATCATGCAAAATGCAAAGTGACGACCATGCCAAAATGTAGCAAATACCATGCACAATGACAGGTTCTAGTTCCAAACTGTTGCAAATACAAGGCAAATGGTACCAGGAAAGAAAGCAAAACAAAATCCAAAACCTGAGACAAAAAATACCACAAACTATTCTACACCCAAATTCATAGGCGTTTTCCAATGATGACGAGTTCGTTTCCTCCATGGGTATGGGGGCCACTCTCTCTCTCTCTCTCTCTCTGAAACATCTTTTCTACAACTGCGTCTAGCCAAGGAATAGGGAACCGAAACGCACACTTGATATGATCGGATCCTCGAGACTTGTGAGGAGCCATTTCTCATTGTCGAGAAGAACAATGAGAAGGGAGAGACAATGGAGGTGCCTTGTTGACCGTGAAAAATTGAAAGCCTGGGCGAAGACCTTTATTAGTGGGGATATGGGCCCCCGCAATTGTGGCCACGCAGCCCCACAAGAGGAACTTCCAGGAACTAATCGAAATCCAAGGTCCGTCCCAGGGACTCGCAAGTGGGGGTAGGGGAGGCCACTCAAAGTGCACTGAAAGATACCAGAGTTTTTGCGAGCCGCCCATGGCACATGTATTTGAAGGCACGAGGTAGAAAAGATAGAAGTATGATGAACAACGTAATGAAACGGACATATGTAAATATGTTCTCAAGAGTTCGAAGGTTCGCAGTTGATCCAAGTTGTGCTGGTTTTCCCACAGATCTTTTACCCCGTAAACAAATGGGATGGCAATGTAGAAGATCCAGCAGCAGAGAAGAGAGTATTACTTGAGTTTCCAGCGGTCCCTGAGACGTGTTGCGATTGCATGTTGGAGTTGCACGTTGGAGCAAGCAGATGGGCCCAAATCGGTCTGAAGTCCGCATCGCCTGTGTTTGTCACGTGTTAATTCGTGTTAGTTCGCCTTACCCAAAGTTTGGCCCTAGCATCAGATTGAGGCCATTCTACACACCGTTGGCCGGGTGTGGGGCGCACTGTGCGAGGGCCTTCGTGCATTGTGCGAAGGATACTTTGGGTTTCTGGCCAACCTACTGGATGCTTAGTAGATGACAACGAGACGATGCGCTAACGTGCTCGTTGGGCTCAAAGTTCCCTTGAGGGTAACGGACCGGGTTCGGTTTGTGCATTGTATGCAACGACGTATACATGCATCTGGACACCTGGCCCAAAGGTCCGTCCCAGGGACTCGCAAGTGGGGGTAGGGGAGGCCACTCAAAGTGCAATGAAAGATACCAGAGTTTTTGCGAGCCGCCCATGGCACATGTATTTGAAGGCACGAGGTAGAACAGATAGAAGTATGATGAACAACGTAATGAAACGGACATATGTAAATATGTTCTCAAGAGTTGAAGGTTCGCAGATGATCCAAGTTCTGCTGGCTTTCCCACCGATCTTTTACCCCGTAAACAAATGGGATGGCAATGTAGAAGATCCAGCAGCAGAGAAGAGAGTATTACTTGAGTTTCCAGCGGTCCCTGAGACGTGTTGCGATTGCATGTTGGAGTTGCACGTTGGAGCAAGCAGATGGGCCCAAATCGGTCTGAAGTCCGCATCGCCTGTGTTTGTCACGTGTTAATTCGTGTTAGTTCGCCTTACCCAAAGTTTGGCCCTAGCATCAGATTGAGGCCATTCTACACACCGTTGGCCGGGTGTGGGGCGCACTGTGCGAGGGCCTTCGTGCATTGTGCGAAGGATACTTTGGGTTTCTGGCCAACCTACTGGATGCTTAGTAGATGACAACGAGACAATGCGCTAACGTGCTCGTTGGGCTCAAAGTTCCCAGGAGGGTAACGCGCAAGTGGGGGTAGGGGAGGCCACTCAAAGTGCACTTTGCAAGTGGCACAGGGCACATGTATTTGGAGGCATGAGGTGAAATAGGCAGAAATATAAAGACAAATCTAGTGACAAAGAAATAAACACATGATGAATGATAGCGAAAAGTTTGGTTTGGACATACCTGTAGCCTCCAATTAATAAATAATTAGCATAAATCAATGGTGATTGATACCTTATTTTTTTTTTCTCGAAATGAGCGGCCAGTCTTGGCATTTCCACTTTGTGCACTTTGAAGCAACAAGCCTGATCGTATTTTCTCGTGAAATGAGCCTAGATACCCAGAAACAAGAAAATAATAGAAAATACACAATTGTCAGGACAGGAATGCATGGTTTTCATTGAAGTGAACGTAACAAAACAGCATGAGCGTAAATCCAGCCAAAAGAGACTATGAGTAGAAAAGGGTGGTGATTGAAGATCCAGGCATGTAGCAGTTGATCGTTTTCCCGCAGATCTTTTAGCCCGTAAACAAATTGGATGGCAATGTAGAAGATCCAGTAGCAGAGAAGAGAGTAATCACTTGAGTTTCCAGCGGTCCCTGAGACGTGTTGCGATTGCATGTTGGAGTTGCACGTTGGAGCAAGCAGATGGGCCCAAATCGGTCTGAAGTCCGCATCGCCTGTATTTGTCACGTGTTAGTTCGTGTTAGTTCGCCTTACCCAAAGTTTGGCCCCAGCATCAGATTGAGGCCATTCTACACACCGTTGGCCGGGTGTGGGGCGCACTGTGCGAGGGCCTTCGTGCATCGTGCGAAGGATACTTTGGGTTTCTGGCCAACCTACTGGATGCTTAGTAGATGACAACGAGACGATGCGCTAACGTGCTCGTTGGGCTCAAAGTTCCCTTGAGGGTAACGCGCAAGTGGGGGTAGGGGAGGCCACTCAAAGTGCACTTTGCAAGTGGCACAGGGCACATGTATTTGGAGGCATGAGGTGAAATAGGCAGAAATATAAAGACAAATCTAGTGACAAAGAAATAAACACATGATGAATGATAGCGAAAAGTTTGGTTTGGACATACCTGTAGCCTCCAATTAATAAATAATTAGCATAAATCAATGGTGATTGATACCTTATTTTTTTTTTCTCGAAATGAGCGGCCAGTCTTGGCATTTCCACTTTGTGCACTTTGAAGCAACAAGCCTGATCGTATTTTCTCGTGAAATGAGCCTAGATACCCAGAAACAAGAAAATAATAGAAAATACACAATTGTCAGGACAGGAATGCATGGTTTTCATTGAAGTGAACGTAACAAAACAGCATGAGCGTAAATCCAGCCAAAAGAGACTATGAGTAGAAAAGGGTGGTGATTGAAGATCCAGGCATGTAGCAGTTGATCGTTTTCCCGCAGATCTTTTAGCCCGTAAACAAATTGGATGGCAATGTAGAAGATCCAGTAGCAGAGAAGAGAGTAATCACTTGAGTTTCCAGCGGTCCCTGAGACGTGTTGCGATTGCATGTTGGAGTTGCACGTTGGAGCAAGCAGATGGGCCCAAATCGGTCTGAAGTCCGCATCGCCTGTATTTGTCACGTGTTAGTTCGTGTTAGTTCGCCTTACCCAAAGTTTGGCCCAGCATCAGATTGAGGCCATTCTACACACCGTTGGCCGGGTGTGGGGCGCACTGTGCGAGGGCCTTCGTGCATCGTGCGAAGGTTACTTTGGTTTTCTGGCCAACCTACTGGATGCTTAGTAGATGACAACGAGACGATGCGCTAACGTGCTCGTTGGGCTCAAAGTTCCCAGGAGGGTAGCGCGCAAGTGGGGGTAGGGGAGGCCACTCAAAGTGCACTGAAAGATACCAGAGTTTTTGCGAGCCGCCCATGCCACATGTATTTGAAGGCACGAGGTAGAAAAGATAGAAGTATGATGAACAACGTAATGAAACGGACACATGTAAATTATGTTCTCAAGAGAGTTCCAAGGTTCGCAGTTGATCCAAGTTGTGCTGGTTTTCCCACAGATCTTTTAGCCCGTAAACAAATTGGATGGCAATGTAGAAGATCCAGCAGCAGAGAAGAGAGTAATCACTTGAGTTTCCAGCGGTCCCTGAGACGTGTTGCGATTGCATGTTGGAGTTGCACGTTGGAGCAAGCAGATGGGCCCAAATCGGTCTGAAGTCCGCATCGCCTGTATTTGTCACGTGTTAGTTCGTGTTAGTTCGCCTTACCCAAAGTTTGGCCCAGCATCAGATTGAGGCCATTCTACACACCGTTGGCCGGGTGTGGGGCGCACTGTGCGAGGGCCTTCGTGCATCGTGCGAAGGTTACTTTGGTTTTCTGGCCAACCTACTGGATGCTTAGTAGATGACAACGAGACGATGCGCTAACGTGCTCGTTGGGCTCAAAGTTCCCAGGAGGGTAGCGCGCAAGTGGGGGTAGGGGAGGCCACTCAAAGTGCACTGAAAGATACCAGAGTTTTTGCGAGCCGCCCATGCCACATGTATTTGAAGGCACGAGGTAGAAAAGATAGAAGTATGATGAACAACGTAATGAAACGGACACATGTAAATTATGTTCTCAAGAGAGTTCCAAGGTTCGCAGTTGATCCAAGTTGTGCTGGTTTTCCCACAGATCTTTTACCCCATAAACAAATTGGATGGCAATGTAGAAGATCCAGCAGCAGAGAAGAGAGTAATCACTTGAGTTTCCAGCGGTCCCTGAGACGTGTTGCGATTGCATGTTGGAGTTGCACGTTGGAGCAAGCAGATGGGCCCAAATCGGTCTGAAGTCCGCATCGCCTGTATTTGTCACGTGTTAGTTCGTGTTAGTTCGCCTTACCCAAAGTTTGGCCCAGCATCAGATTGAGGCCATTCTACACACCGTTGGCCGGGTGTGGGGCGCACTGTGCGAGGGCCTTCGTGCATCGTGCGAAGGTTACTTTGGGTTTCTGGCCAACCTACTGGATGCTTAGTAGATGACAACGAGACGATGCGCTAACGTGCTCGTTGGGCTCAAAGTTCCCAGGAGGGTAGCGCGCAAGTGGGGGTAGGGGAGGCCACTCACATTGTCACTGAAAGATCGCCAGATTTTTGGCGACCCGCCCATGCCACACCATGTATTTGAAGGCAACGAGTAGAAAAGATGAAGTAAGGAAACAACGGAATGAAACGGACACATGTAAATTGTTATGTTCTCAGAGTTCCAAGGTTCGCAGTTGAGTCCAAGTTGTGCTGCGTTTTTCCCCACAGATCTTGTTTAGCCGTAACAATGGGAATGCATTAAAATCCAGTAGTCAGGAAGATCGTAATCACTTGAGTTTTTTCCTCCAGCGGTCCCGTGGAGACGTATTATTGCGATTTCTTTTGGAGTTGCACGTTGGAGCAAGCAGATGGGCCCAAATCGGTCTGAAGTCCGCATCGCCTGTATTTGTCACGTGTTAGTTCGTGTTAGTTCGCCTTACCCAAAGTTTGGCCCAGCATCAGATTGAGGCCATTCTACACACCGTTGGCCGGGTGTGGGGCGCACTGTGCGAGGGCCTTCGTGCATCGTGCGAAGGTTACTTTGGTTTTCTGGCCAACCTA